TGTGTGTGGGTGTGTGTGATGGTTCCACTTGAACATTTTCATGTCCTTCGCTCATTTGCAGCAGCTGGAGGGGGTGGGGATGGGGCTGGCGATGAGGGTGGGGATGGTGTGGGTTGTGGGTTGAAGGACGAAAAGCTGGCCACACTAGGCGCGGTGAACAGGACCCCGCAGATACAGCAACTATGCATGGAAGTGTGCGGCGTGTTGGCGTTAATGGTTCTTGATGAAATGAAATAATGGGTGCGTTTATTCACGTAATGTATTTGTATTTGTTACAGCAACAACAACAGCAACAACAGCAAAGCACCACACATATTTACAATAATAACACAGCTCGTAAAATGAATAACTGAATGGAATGATTGAATGCCGGATGGAATGAAAGCGGCGCCCAGGCGACGCCGACAAAGGACCGCTAACAAAACGCTTTTCGTTAGTTTTCATTATTTTCCGCATTTAAGCGTATTTATTCCGTTGTTAATCGAATTTATTAAATGCAAACACGCCAACAAATGGTAGCCAGGACCTACATATATACACACACCGAGCAAAGTAAGGGGGCCAGCCAACACGCACTTTCCGCACACCACCCCGCCGCTCTAAGCCAAACTGGGTGCGTTTTGTTTGGCCCGAGAAATAATGTTTCTCGCATGCTTATTGCCTTTGCTGCCGGCTGCTAATTTTACGCATTTCACGCAGCTCCACGTGGGTATGGAGGGAATCCAAGCCAAGTCCCTGCCAGCGTACGTCATTAAATGTCTCTATTGCTGGGTCTCATAGCCAAAACACAACCGAAACACACACACCTAAATGAATTATCTTCGACGCAGATTCTAATCCTTTGCCTGGCATACATTTTGAGTCAGTCGACTTACGACTGGAATATAATTAAGGAAGGCAGTGCATTTGACAGCAGGTATTGATTTAATTGAAAGTGGTAACTTGATTTTCTTTATGGTAAAATTATAAAACTATAGGGCACTTAAGAAGCTGTCTTATTTTAAACTTTTCTGAAATTGTCCTGTTGCTAATTATGCTCCTCTAAACATACTGATATGTTTTAGATCAAGATCTTTAAAAACTCTAATTATAATATGATGGGAGGTGCCAAAAAAATCTACAGGGTTCCGAAACCGTTAAAAAAAACATTGTCAAGTCCGTCAAACTTATAGATTTAAAATATATTTTTGCAAGCTTGTACACACATTTGTAACCAGTTTAAAATCCTTTCCGCTTACCCATTAATTTGGTAAAATTGCTTGTCTTGATAATATACAGATATTTTGTAATTCCTATTTATAGATTTTTTGATCTAGCTACAAAATATTTGTTCCTTCTTTTATAGTTATTAATGATGCTAAGCATTGAACAATATATCCAATTAAAAATGGTGTGTAAAGCAGAAACCTCCAAGCCATCGCAACAGAAAGCAAACATCCTTAGTTATCAATGCAAGTCATTATACATTTGGACAAGCGATTTAATCATCTAGACCATGGGAAATGTATTCCAAGCAATAGTTTTATTGTTTTGCGCTGCAGGCCAAGGAAATGACATAAGATGGACGTTGGGAAAAGAAGTGCATTTGTGAGCAGCTGGCAAACAGAGCCCAACCGAAGCAAATCGAAAGAAACTTTGCGCATTAGCTTCCAAATGGCAAATGCCCAGCGCCAGTTGGTCCGGCCAAGTTCGGTTCCGCCCCCGCCACGCCCCCTGGTCGCCCATCGACTTCCGCAAACTTTTGCATTCGGTCTGGCCAAGAAATGAGCAACTGGCCTCATATGTCAATGATTTTTATTTTATTTTGTTTGTTTGCATTTCTTCGCCCACGCCAATGGCGCCAACTGCAGTGTTCGCACCTACTGACTTGCTGCCAGGAAGTCTTTTTTTCCCAGGGAACTCAACTCTTTTTTTTGAGATTTGGCTGATTTGAAGCAAGCAATCCTCCTTCTGTCCTGTCACACACACACACCTCCCCTTTGCTGTTATTATTTTGGCTGCCATTTATTTGCTGTCAATGTTTGGGCCACCTCCGGGCCACCACCACCCCCTAAAACCACCCACCTGACGAGGCCGCAGCCGCCGGCCTGGCTGCCCGCTTTCTTTTTTGTCTCCCCGATATCATTTTCATTTTAAAATGTCCACGACAACGACAGCAAAGACGCCTCCTAACAAGAGTCCAGCTTTTCTATGTCCTTACTGCTTTCTTTTTCACAGTTCTTTGAGTACACACAAAAAAAAAATAAACATATGAAAAAAAACCCAATATATAATTTATATATATAAACTTTTCTTATACGATTTTCATTAATGTTTCTTTACATTTTTCGAACTTTAAAAAAAATACAAAAGGTACGTTTGCAACGCTCAATCAGAAAGACAATTAAATAACATTATTCATTATTTCTAAATATATTGATTTTGTTTTAGAAAATAGAAAAAATTTAACTTATTAAAAAAAACTCTTAGCTTAGAGAAGGTTGTAACTTATATTTTATACAGGCAAGTCTTAAAATAGAATCTTGTTTCAAAAAGTCACGGTTCTAAAAGACATTAACAAAAGAATTTAATTTTCTTGGGAATTTCAGCATTTTTGTATAAAAAAAAGTTTAGAAAGCTCCATATTTTTCAGTGTATGTTTCCCATGTTATTCTAGTCCTTTTTGTGCCTGCTCCTCGAAGACAATTTCGGGCTAGGTCTTGGTTTTGGCCCGGCCGGGGCCACTTTATAAATGTTTCTGCAATGGATTTTTGCAAAGTAAACTTTTTCCTCCTTTTCTCGTTCGTCTTTTGTAGTTTTTGGGCCCGCATCTGATTGCGAGTGTGTGACATTTGTGGGGGCGGCAGCACAGCGGAGTGGGAGGGGGGGGCCCAAGTAAATATATTAAAATGCAAACCCAACTCATATTACTGGGGGGCAGGATCGGGGGACAGGACTCACGATTCAGGACTCAGCTCTCAAGTCCTTGCGCACACATGTGCGCAATTTCCAAGTCCGTTTTCGGCCATTGCCAATGCCCACCGAATAAATCGAATGCACAGAAAAGCAATAAAACGAAATAAAATCTAAATATGTATGCTCTCGAGTGTCGCCCTTTTTTCTGGGGAAGGGGGACGATGGAGGAAATGTGGGCGGATATGGCACGAAAAACAGAAGGCAGGAACAAAAAAAAAAAAAAACTTATCATTTTTATCATTGCGCAAAAGTTTATCCTTTTTGCTCGGGCCGTTAATATTTTCGATTCGGATTTCGAAATGGCCAAAAGTCCCAGGACCGCCCCTTTACCGTGACTGCTCGGAATTTCAAATGACTTTGGCTCGTTCCGAAGCTTATTGAATGTTTATGCTTTATTAAATTTGATTTCTCTTCTCAGACCGGGCCATCTTCTACGGCCTGTCTCGAACTAAACTGACCAAGTGCTGGCCAACATTTGTTGCAATGATCTATGTGCCCTGAATATTAAACGACACTCGGGGCTTAGAGCCGTCGTCCAGGATGGAACTCGTTGTGGGTCCGAAACCGTGGCTATTATCATTTTAATGCGCGTTAAATGCGACATTTGCGACATCGGACAAAGTGCGTGTCATGTGCTTAGGAACACTAACAACCCGAAAGGAGCAAGGAATAAGGATCTGTTCAAATCATATTTGTAACGCATTTCCTTACACTGAGCATAAAGGTGACTTAATGACTCAGAAACTATGAAATTAATTTGTACGCCTAACATCCGTTTACATGTTATTAAACTATTTATTTCATCAAAAACGAACTCTCAGCTTATAAATTGTAGTATCTTCTTCTGATGACTTTTTTTTTAAATTAGAGAGACAACCGAATTCTATTTTGCCCAGAAGAGATCCTTAAGGACGATTTTTCTTGAGTGTACCTCTTATCTCAACATCCTTCCGTTTCGCAATCGAATGGTAATCATAATCACAATAACCGTAATAGCAATAGCCGTAGTTATGTCGATAGCAATAGTGTTTGGTAATGGCAATAATCATTTTTTGTCGGCCGTTGTGTAGAACATTTGCACATACGTGAATGGCCGGACATTACGTACCCCAAACCGAATGTGTTTATAATCACACGCCGAATGTCCTGGCCAACAGTTACATATCCATGGCCTAATGCGACACGTGCTCCGCGCATATTTCTTGGCACTCTGGCCGGGATTGGGAATGGGATTTGAATGGGATCTAGTTGGGTTTCTGGTTTTCGTTCCCAGTTCTTGGTTCTTGGTCTGGACCAGCGTCAGTTGGTTATGGGCCTAATGATTGCCAGCTCGTTTGGATCGAACTTCGTGAAAATTAAGCTTGTTTATTATTAGAGTTTGAGGTGAAATTGAATGGGTCACTTGTGAGTTTCACTGCTTAAAGGCTAAACTAATACTACGACTTGAGATGATTTTAATACAATATAGTTTAATATTGAATGCAGTAGGTATGGAATAAACCGATAAATACTCAAGACAATTTTCGATATTTAAACATAGCCAATTATTTAGACGCTCTTTATCGGCTTATACTTATTTGATAGTTAGTTACATTATAATAAATTTATAAAGATATGCAAATCATATACAAAATAGAGTATGTCCGTTTTTTTTCACTTTATAAATAATACAGAACAGGCAATTATTCGATTAATCGATAAAATATCTTAAAATTTGTATTTCAATTCGTTTTAGGCTCTAATATTTGTATGTCATTCTTTTTTTGGTCTTAAGGTCTTAAATATAAAAGATTTTCTTTTTATGCCAATTAGTTGCTATTTCGAGTATATGTACTCCCTATTTGTTTATCGATAAATCGACAGTTAGTTACTATGCAAAATCGTGTCTGGCAAAATGCAAATCATATGTGTAATTATTTTTTGTCCCGAACACTCTTGTTCCAATCGATTTGTAAATCATACACAAGAGGCAAATATTCAATTTGGTTTCATATAATAAAGTGTAAACGAATGGCAAGCTCGTAATCGATATATATTGCACTCACCGAAATCACTGTTGATGCCGGAGGGTCCGGGCAGAAGTCCGGGAATGCCCTGCAGGCCGAGGAATGCATTGGGGAACGAGTGCGAGCGCTGATTGTCGATGCCGTCGAGGGTTCCATCGTGCTGACCATCACCTCGATCCGAGGGTTCCGTATCACTGCTGTTCGAATCCTCACCCGCGCTCTGGCCGAGATCGTGTTTCTATTGAAAAAGAAAATGGATTTTTATTGTTAGCTCATGAAGTAGAACAGTATTTTTAAGATTTCCTAGTCTATAAAGATGATGGTGGAGAAATTACTTTAAAAAGGTGACCAAAAGTATGCAGTAAAATTATAAACGTCGATTTCTTTTATATAGCCGACAAACTTTTATAAATATTTGAAACTTATTGTTGCGTACTAATACACACAATTTTACAAAATTTCAAATCCCCAAGTGATTTTCCTAGCACGCCCAATTTGTTTTTGATTGACAAATATATTTGTCGGATAATATAAAAGCTAAGAACAATATTATGTTCATGAATTCTAAACAATAGGCTACCAAACGAAATCAAATCAACGATGGAAGGAACTAACAAATTGATTTTTTTAAAATGCACATTTAACTTGGATAACATTACTTATTACTTGCATTTATCTTTAATTTTTTTTTAGTTGTTTTTAGTGGGAGAAGTAAGAGAGATTATAGGTAGAATATAAAATGTAACTGTTACCCACCTGATTGGCCTGCTGTCCGTTGCTGTTTTCCAGAGCCTGTCCGAGTAGCGACTCCCTCAGCTCCATATTGCGCTCCCGGTCCTTGGAGGTGTCCCGACCGCCCCTGTTCCGCGTGAGCGGATGCTGTCCCGCCACGGGAAACTCGCGGTCGAGCAGCAATCGCTCCGGACTGATGCCATGCTGGGCCCGGAACAAGTCGGCGCTCTTGATGCGTTTCTGCGGCGGCGGCGTCAGGTGGCTCTTCCGACTGCCCTCCATCTCACCCATGTCCCAGTGGTTGCTGCTACTGGCCTATAAAAAAGAGAGAAAAATTGATGGGCCCCAGTTAGTGAAGGTCTGGAAAGGGGGCAACCCAAGTCGAGTGCTGGCGTTTCTCGGAACTGCACACTTTACTTTGCCGGGATTGGGAGTTTGATTCGGGTTTCTTACGGGCGACGCTGCCGACGATGCCTTCAGCTCCTGGATGGCGGGCGTAACGCTCGTACCGCCACTCTGGCCGCTGGCGCTGCTGCTTCCGCTGACTGTTGCTGCCGCTGCTGCTGCCACGGCGGCGGTTAGGGATGCAGCCGCTGCTGCTGCTGCCGCTGCACTCGAAGCGGTAACCGGTGGCGGGATCTGCGGCGCACTGAAAGGTGAATTCAGGCTGCTGTTCAGGGATCCGCTTAGGTTGTTGTTGTTGTTGTTGTTGCTGCTGTTGTTGTTGTTGCTGTTGCTGCTGCTGCTGTGGTTATTGCTGCTGCTGCCGTTGTTGTTGCTCGGGGCACTCGTTTGATTGGGTGGCAAATAGCTGCTAATCTTATTGTGATTGCTGCTCTCGGCATTATTGTTGTTGTTATTATTGTTGCTCAGGCTGTTGCTGTTGCTGTTGTTGTTGCTGCTGCTGCTGTTGTGACTCAAGGCGGCGGACAGAGCCTTGGAGTAGGGATAGCCACCGTTGACATCCGCCAGACCACGAATCTGCAGCAGGTGAGCGGTCTTCAGGAAGTCGGGCAACTGTTCATGGCTCACATTCACCTCACCATTGTACATAAAGCTTAAAGGATTTAAAAATGCAAAATAAATTAAATATAAATATATCAAATCGATTTATATGCTTTTCATAAACATTAATTTAATTCCCTTCAAAATGTAACATGAACTAAGATAATGTTGAGGGACATTAATGCTGTTTGGGACAAGTTTAATAATATTGTAGTTACATTTTTTGGTTTGAATTCCTTTATTTTTTATGTTTTGAATAAAGGATTTGATATTCCTAAGCTAAACATTAAATTGATTGACTTCATGTTAAGTTTCTTAAAAATATTACAAACTAAATCCTTAACATAACATTTAGAAATCGGCCACAAAATATATTCCAAATTATTTTTTATCAACCTTGAGTTGAACTCACCTCAGCAGATTCTCGACGTCGTCGCAGCGCACGTCGCGCAGGATGACGATCGGATGCTCGCAGGGATTGGCCTTGAGCAGCCGGCGGAAGTAGGGGCTGCAGGCGCTGAGGACCACCTTGTGGGCGGTGAAGGAGCGCTCGTCGCAGGCCAGCGTCACGTCCACGAAGTCCTCCTCGTCGCGCAGATGCCGGAAGGAGCTGAGGATCGAGCTCTGGAAGTCGTTCCACTTGAGGGCGTAGTGCTGCTGCTGCTGCTGCTGTTGCTGCGAATGCTGCTGCTGGTGTGAGTGGTTCAGAGAGGGCGGGGGCGTGGCCGGCGAGAGGGCGGATCCGGTGGCGGCCATCGAGAGCGAGGAGAGGGAGGATAGGGCGTGGGCGGCGGCGGCGGCGGAAACGGAAACGGAGGAGGTCACCGGCGGCGGAGGCTCCATTTTGACCACGCCCGCGTTGTTGTTCTCCGCCGTCTGCAGCTGGGTGGATTCGGTCATTTAAGTGGACCTCGTCTAGCCGGGATGGGATCTGATGAACTCTGACGGGCTCCGATGGGGCTGTTCTCGTTCTATTGGCTTAGTTGTCTTAATGGATCCGACTGCTCCTTCTTTTGTGGCTAATTCCTTGGCTATTGTCGCACAAATGCCTTCCCTTTTCCCTTTTTACTGGACTCCTTTGTCGTGTGTGTCCTGCTCTTTGTGGGAGCCTGGCAAATATTTGCACTGCCCGTCCGTATATGGATTTTCCGGCTTCTCTGCTAATTCGGCGGCAGCCTCGCACGGCCTTTGTCCATTTTCACCGGACTCTGTTTGCCGCGGCGCCCATGGACGGACCAAGCCAATGTGCTGCAAGGCAAAAGAAAAAAAAAAAAAAACAGAAACAGAAATTAAGTTCAGTCTTTGCGTGGCTCAAATCCAAATACAATTGCTCGGGCAGGTGGGCCAATCATTAAATATTATTACCAATTATTCATACATAAGCAGCGGGACCGGGACGCGGACTGCCGCTGGATCCGCGGTTGGACTCTAATGAAACCATTAATTACCCGAGCGGACCAAGCCATCGAACCACCGAGAGCGGGCCACTTGTCGGGGGCATTAGACGCAAATCAATTTAATTTAAGCGTTTACAAGCCACAAAACAATGGAGCTGAAGTTGCCCGCCACTCCACAGATCTTTGACTTACACTTGGGGAAAATAGTACCTAAATTACTTGCCGTTGACCTGATTGGCCTTACAAACAAAATCGTTTTTAATAAATGTAGTCTATGTCTTATCGTTTTCTGGAATTATTCTCATTGTTAGACTTAAATAAACATTTTCCAAGGTGTCATGATAAGAAATGGGTATTTATTGGAGCTATTGTAATGGTTATCTGAATCTTTTACAAAGTTTTTCTCAAAATGCAATAAAAAAGAATTAACTAACTGTCAAATAGCATAAATGCCAAAAAAGTTTTATGTAAATTCTGAAATTATATTGATAAATAAAGTACGTTTTCAAGACATTATTTTATATATAGACTAGTTCCTCCAAATTTTCTCATGCTCACAAAGATAAAGAGTAATTTTTTGAGTGCACCAGCCAAATAATTGTACAAGATCATTAGAAGTGGTAACCACCAACAATCCATCCATCTTCACAGTACTGCCGCTCTACCCTCGCCATAAGGTAGTCCAACCTGATCGATGTACCGCCATCAAAATATTTATAAACGCATTCATCTCTGGTTTTTGGGCTTCGCTTGTCGCTGGTCTTGGATTACGGATCAGTATGACGATTCGGATTACACCTTGGCGATCGAGTGTATGAGAAGAGGCGGACCATCACCCATTCCAGCTTACCTTCACCTATCACAAATTCTTTGCCTGCAATTGGCGCCTGCAGTTGCAGGTTGGTCATTTTTCACGGTACATGTGGAATTCCGCTTGGAAATCATGTTCACAATTTCCCTGGGTACTCATTCAGTTACTCACTCTTTGCCGCACTGACTCACCTCGGTGGTTGATTAATGATGGGGCATTTTAAACTCGATTATGGCCATCACTTTGGGCCGTGACTAAGACAATCGAAGGAGGCTGGCCGGCAATGCAGCCATTTGATTTGAAACTGGTGAAGCACTTGGCTAGGATTAATTGTGCAATGAGTTGTGTGATTAAAATAGTTTGGGAATTTCAGCCAGATACTGGCCTAACTCTTTTTTCTGGAAATTTCGTTTAAGTTTTGGTTAGTTCATAGCCAGTACGCCATGGAAAAATATATAACATATTATATGATACCGGGGAGTTTTGGGCTGACTTCCCCAATCGAAAGCCTCTGCGTTGCTTTGCGCTTCGCTGAGCTGCGTGCATTTGTTTGCGCTAATTTATGAAGTAACCCAAAACAATTTCATCACAACACATTTGCTGGCAATTATTTCGTTTATTGAACAAACATTCGCTTTGCCTCGCACATCGCATAAATCCGTGGGGGTTGGGGCGGGGAGCGGTGGGCGGGGTCAACTGCCATACAATAACTAACCCGGCCAAGACACAGAACAACGAAATAAAACAACAGATAGTTTCCGGCTTGGTAACCGAAAAATATGTAAATGGATGGCAAGGGGCGCAAAAAGGCGGCAACAAAAACACGGCTCGCACATGTAATCAGGAGGCACAGGATGTGTGTGCAGCAGGACGCAATTGCATTCTGCATGCCACACACTTCAAATGTTCAACTTTCAAATGGCAGGGCAGTGCAGTGCCACTGCCTGCCTAAAAACAAAACATTTCACAATTTGCGTTAAACAAAACACAGTCCGTTTTGGCAGCCAAAAAAGGCCAAAAGCCATTCGTATCTGTGTGTGTGTGTGTGTGTGTGTGTGTGTAATTGAAAGGAATTCTCGTCCTGGGGCGGGAGTTGAGCGTAACATAATAACAAATAAATGTAAATGATAATGGTAAATAAAAAACGAATTACTAAACAACACACAATCATCTGCAAATACACAGATATCTAGGCATATGTACATACACTCACGCCCATCAGGATATATAAATATAACGATCCACATGCCATATAACATACATATATGGCTGTATAAACACGCGTATGATAAAAGGGTTGGGGGTCGTATCTAGAACTGCGGAAACGGCAGCAACAACTGCTGTTGGCCATGGGCACAATCAAATTTGTACTAACTATTCGAACACCCCGAAAACTTTTGCCCCGAAGGGTATATCGAATGGAGAGAATATTTTGTGACTGACCAAGTAAAACAAAATAATATTTATAATACATAGTTGGGCCACATGTGTTTTTACCTCAAGCGTGAAAATATAAAGTGAAAAATTAATGGCTTTTGATTTGAAAAGTGTAAAATGGATCTTTAGCAATAAAGTATACTTTATTAGAACCTCCCGAGATTGCTGGGTACATGGCTGGCTGGAATAACTTCGTCACTTGTTATTTTTGGTAAATTGATACTGTGCCAAGGCAAGTGAACTAAGTTCCTTGGTAAATATTTTATCCACTCCTGCCAACCCCCATTTCTACTGACATATATACCCCGTCCATTTATCTTTCCTAACTAGAATTCAAGGGACGGAAGGGAGGCGCGTTATGATGATGATTGTTATTTTTACGATTTGCATTTGAGCTGTCAGTGGGAGAATCATTGAATGTACACAAAGTCCGAGGTACAAGTAGCTCCTTTGTGTGTGTATGTGTGTGTGTGTGTGTGTGTGTGTGTTTTGTTGTTTCTCTCATTATTTTTACAGTTATGTTTATATCGTTTATGACTTCATATTGTAGGGTGTTCGTCCTTATAAGTGATGGGGAAACCATAAAAAATATTCACGCATGAACATAAAATCAGAAAATTGACTGAAAATGGTTTGGGATGCTATAATTTTAGAAGAGATGTAGTCTTAAGGAATAGCTTTTAGATCTTTAAACAAATATTGCAGATAATTCGATATGAAGCTTGGGTCTGAATGGTAAATAAAGCTAGAAATTTAAATGCCTAATTCTCAAAGGACAAATTTGCGTAAAAAATTTCGATTATATTTTGGCGCAAAATGTCAAATCGAATTATAAGCGGTGTGAACAATGCAATTTCGGTACGGCCTAATAAAAACGACTCTTCTCCCGCAATTTTGGCGTATCTTTTTTGGTTTTTTGGGGGGGAGCAGAAGGAGAGGACCTCACTCAATGCAAGCAAATTAGTTAAAAACCAATTAAAATCGCTCATCCGCCACGTTGACCAAGCCGACGCCACACGATGATTGCGGGGGAGGTTGCCAACCAAATATATATGTGTATACAGTTTGCACATAGGGTATGTACTCCTAGCTGTGTGTGTGTGTAGATTACACACACACACGATTTAGGACCAAATATTCTAAAAATCTAAATTAGAATGTCAATAAAATGCCATTTTTAATGAAATAATTAATTAGATTTTGTACATCACCAATCTAACACGCATTTTCCGACCAAACACCCAAACTTATGTACTTCTATATCTGTGTATGTGTGTTTTCTATGTTTTATGTTTTCTATGCGAATAACAACATTAGTAGAGGCGGGCCGTGACTCGTGAGTATAAAAAGTATAAAAATTTAAAAAGAAGTCATGGCAAAAAAAAGGAAACACTCTTTTAAAATAAACTGAAAGATAATCTGAGCTAAACAGCAAAAAGAAAAAACATAATTTTTTGCTCTCCAAATAAATTACACTCAGTCTATACAAATGAAATCAAATATCAAAAATTATTTGAAATTAAAAATATTGGTAGAGAAACCAAATTCAAACTACCAAAATTGTTCTTTTGATTATATTTTTGCATTTTTCCGCTGATTTTTTTGCCTGCATTTTTACCCCAAAAATCTTTCACGCTCACATATCAAAAACAGATGTATAAATTAGCATACACACCAGCACAAACGCTATAGTGGAATTTAGTTGTTGGACACACCATTTTGTTTAGAATTCGCCCGACCTCACCACCCACACTGGCTTTTTTGCTAAATTTGCATGCGTTTCTATCTCCATTTTCCTTATTATTCATCATGGTATCCTCTGCTTTTGTGTTTTTTTCTGCTGGCAGCAGCGCGATTTGTTCGATTTTCAATTATTTAAATGGTTTTATTTTCGTTCGCCTCACATAGACTCATTTGCATTTCTGGATACCCAATCCTCGGCCGCCCCACAACATCATCGCCCTCGAGTTGGACACGCATCAAAGTGGCACTCAATGGCAGGAAAAACTAAAACGATAAGCGAACTGAGATGGCAGTCGCAGCGACTTTTCCTAATTGCCTCAGAGAATTTAAATTGAGACATGAAATTGAATAATTCAAAATAATTAGCAGGCCAGAAGACAGCCCTCAGTGGCAGTCTTATTCTCATTCTCATTCTCAGTCGCAGTCTGGTCGCGTAATTGCATTAATGATTTTGACAAATGACCGTCGCCAAAGTCGCCTTTGACTTTGACGTCGACGTGATGCAGATGAGGGGCAAACTATATCACAGAAAATACTGGGTGACGAACAGTGGCTAAATGCTGAATCCACAACCATTAAACGCAAAAATCAATCAAGGTGAGAGCGAAGATTTAATTCAGGGCCAAGTGCTCTACACTGTCACATGGAATTCCCAATACAAAATTGGATTAGTGAATCACTTACCTTGCAAAGTATTGAATTCTTTATTTTTCTATTTCTCAATAATGTTGATTACAAACAATAATATTTTGAAATTATTTTTTAAACTGGTTATAGTTGGTTTCTTTGTTTCTCAGTGCACGGCTTAGACAAATCTGCGATCCATTTCATGGATAGACATTGAGGGGCATTCGAAGCGA